GGCGGCCTTGCTCAGCTTGCACTTGTTCTTTGCTCTGAGACCTCGCGAACGACTGCAGTCGAAACACGCTGGCACAGCTGGGAGCGACATCCTTCCTCCCGTCCTTTTCGCTTCGTCTGCTAAGTCAGCTTTTCTTATGTTTTTCTTTATTGCTTTTAGAAACATGTTAGATTTTCCTGTGTGCGGAACACAGATAAAATGCATTGAGCTAATGGGCTGATTTTTTCCTTCCAACTCAGACACGCTTCTTAAGATCTCGCTGTTTGTGGACAACCATCGAGAGCTGTGCGGCTCACCAGGCTCCTGACAGAGGGCAGGGGGGGCTGATGTTGACCACCTTCCACGAGGGCCTGGTATGTTCTGAGATGACCACAAAGAAGAGGATGAATTTATGAGGAAGCTTTAGCTTCACTGGTGCTTTTTGGAAGCTGCATGAGTTGGGTACTTGGCCTCATCAGGAAATGCTTGGACTGTGTCAAGTGGAAATGGACTTGGTGTCCGAAGAAGAGGCTGAGCTGAACGAGCCGTGAAGACGGAAGGGCTACAGAAGTCATCTGTCCTTGTGCCTGCCATGGATATTTTGTATGCTGAAAATAAAAATGTTGAGACTTAACTAACTTACAAAGAAATGGTGAGGTGTGTGGCAAATGAGTAGGCATAACGTGGGGTCCAGCAGGCTGGTACCGTGTAAGAAAGATGCTTAGGTACTATCCGTACAAATAAATAAAAGATGTAAATCAGGGCTTAAAAACAGTTTGCACTTCCTGCCTCTGAGCAACGTGTTTGCTTTCATCCCGCCTGTACATCAAAGAGGGGGGAGCAAATTTAGCTTGAAAGTGTAATTACGGAGTTCTGACCCGGGCAGTTTTCAAGTGTGTTAGAATGTGCTGCTCTGATCTCTCCGCTAGGCCGTGCCTAAATCACAGCCTTAAAACTCTGTGGCGGCAGCAGCTGCTGACATTTCCAGGGACCTTGCTTGGTGGCCATGACACCCATCCTCTGTAACCTTCCCAGGAAGCGGTGGGATGCCTGTCTCTAAATAACATTTGGTAAGAGCTGTAGCTTCCCAGAGAAGGCCAAATAAAGAATTGTACTTGCACAGATCATAGCTGTGCTCGTGCTCCCTGTTTTTATGGCGCAGCAGGTCTCAAACCCGGGGAGTCCATTTGGCCGCCTGAGGGCACTGCTCGACCTGCGGAGAGCGGCGCCGGGGGGGCCCTGGGAGGCTGGGGCTGCTGGTGCTGCCCGTCAGCTCACGGGCGGTGCTTTATATGCAGGTTTAATTGCAAAGAAAGCCAGCGTCACCCTCCTGGCGTTGGTATGGCTCCCGGGCGTCAGGGTGTCACCGAAATCGGGAAGAATGAACCTCATAACACCAATGTAGTGTTAGAAGGCCGGCATTCTTTATTCACAGCGCCGGATGCACGGGGGATCACTCCACCTAACGTGCATGTCTTTAAGCGGCAACTTGCCCGTTTATATGTAGCAAAGTATTACATATGCATGAAGCTTCCCGATATGCCTATACATATGCATAACCTGTCTCTGCTTTGTATTAAAATTAGCTTCAGGAGGTCATTTCCGTACGTCCCTCCCCACCACGCCTGCTCAGTGCCTCCTGGTGGTGGTCATCAGGGGTCGTGGGGATGAAGGCCGATGGCTCCTCTTCGTCACTGCCAGTAACCCCTTGTTCTCACGCAAACTCAGTTGCTCCTTGGCTCTTGCTCAGACCACAGGGTCGGTGTAGACCAGCTCTTGAGGT